CTGAGGTAAATGTGACGTTATGTGACATTGTTTACAAGATGTTATATTGACGTCTTTGCACGGCTGAAACACTGATTCAGCGATTACATGAGACAGGATACGGATTGTAAAGTTGTACTCTTTCTTTTAACTTGCCTTCGGATGTTTAGTCATGTTTATTTTGTGCTGAAACTGGCATTAAAGGGGTCATATGATGTTGCTAAAAAGAACATTATTTTGTGTATTTGGTGTAATGCAATGTATAACACATTATTTTCTACATTATTGTTGCTCCTCTATGCCCCGCCTTTCTGAAACGCATCGATTTTTACAAAGCTCATCGTTCTGAAAAGCGAGGTGTACGCTGATTGGATCAGTGTGCTGTGATTGGCCGAATACCTCAAGCGCGTGACGGAAATGTTACCCCCCTTACCATACTGTGATGCCGTGTCCCGGTGCGACGAGACAAAACCAATAAAACCCATTATAAACGAGGCATTTGTTGCATCCTGTGGGGACATAATTATGGATTATAATGACTTATACTGTCTTTTTACGCGTTGCGTATCGCACCGCGTAAACATAAAACGATGTCTGCATTTGTGATCAGAAACGAGAAACAACAAGCGCTACTCTACACTGCTCAAAACTCATGTTTGAATCTTTAAATATGAAAACGTATTTACAGGCTGTGAGTCAGAACAGCCAGACTGTCCTTGCAAAGTTGGAACTGCCCCACTTTATAGAAACAACCTTTGTGCACAGCATTGTAGGCTACTCTTCCAGGTTCAGTAAGCAGTCCTCCGTAAAATGCGCTGCACACATCTGAATATTTGGGTTGAAGTGTTCTGGAACAGTGTTGTAAATACAACTTAACCACTGATTTCTCATTGTGTCCTCTTTTGGAAGGCCAAACAAAGTAGTTTCACTTTCACAACGAAACACACAGCGTCTCCACGACATGGTGGCGGTGGCAACAATACTACAGCGAGAATAAAAGTTACGCCTTCTTTCTTTGCATGAACATTTGGGCGGTGTTATGCAAATCTTCTCACACAGTGACGTAGACGTGGGGGCGTGTTTAAACGAGGTGTTTAAGGTAGGCGTGGACTAATCTTAACTTTTATAAAGAATATCTGTTTGGGTTTGAGTCTTTAGTCTTTGCAACTTTAGGGATCTTATCTATGCATGAACAGCTTGTAACACTCTAAAGAGAAAGGAAAAATTGAAATGGCATCATATGACCCTTTTAATGTGGCGGAGATGATCAGTTCACGTGCGCTATGCGCTGCCGCGTCTGTTGAACTGTGGCGCTTCAGCGATCTGTCACTCCACATTAAACGGCGCCAAAATGGCATTTATTGTTTGAATACTGCAATACAATGGACATAATTTGAAATCTGAGACTTTGTTTCATATTAAAAGTACCAAAGCACAATGCTTATTGCCAGGGGCGATTCTAGGATTTTCATTTTAGGGGGGCTCAGCCCCCAGTGAGGGTATAATAATAATAATAATAATAATAATAATAATAATAATAATAATATATATATAAAAATATTCTTAAAGATAAGACATTTCTTTAAATAAATTTTAAAAAGTTTGTAAAAAGGTTCCTATGTGCAATTCTTGAAAATTTCTTAAGAAATTTGTGAATCCAGCCTCTGTCCTACTACTATTATTTCCTTCTGAATATTTTGCCTCACTTGTTAAATGTGCTGCAGATGCAGTTTCTTGTCATCAACTAAAACTGGAACAGTTACTATGTAGGTGTTTTTGCTTTTTTAAATGTGTACATGTGTAAATCACAATCCTCATAACGCTCGCACAATCTGTGATTTAGTATTGCAACATTCACACTGAAGATTGGCTACCTAGACTGAAACAAACTTGCATTGCTATTTCATCTTATTAGCTGAATGAGATGAGATGTCGTTCCTAGACTCTGTTTTGCAAATCATTTCCTGTCGACAAGTCATTGTTTCCTCTATCATCCCGCGTGATCACAGTCACAGTGTAGAGCTGCTAAAATATCACTTTCATTGGATGTCTCACTGGATTGAGGTTATTATTGTTTTTTAGAATCGGAGGCTAAATCGAGGCTGTCTGGCTTTAATATCTTGACTTAAATCTAAATATATCAGTGCTGGTGTTGTACGGTTTGTCTAATATCATTGCAAATATGTAGCATTTTGCAAACTCCTCTTTTTTTTTTCTTTTCGGGTGCACATGCAAATGCTCATCTGGCTGCTTATCAGTAAATGTATGCCAGTGGTTTGGTTTTTGATGTACATGCCTGGCTTAACAGTAATAATCTTTAAGTATTTGTCCTGCACACATTTTTGTTTTGTGCACTAATTTTGTTACACTAATCTGACGTCTTAATTTGATTACATAAATTGGATTCATTATGGATTTACATTTATTATGCAGTCCAGAATCTGTTTTCATGTTTAGACAACTGATAATGGTGCTGATTATTAATTGTAGGTAGGAGGGAAGTACTGAAAGGAAAGGAAAGATATAGGCCTAAAGCATCAAGAAAGACAAGAGAAAGGATTGACAAAATAACAGACAGGCAAAATGAATGAATGACAGACAGAAAGAATGAAGATTTCAAGACAGAAAGACATTAAAAAAGAAGCAGAACAATAAAAAAGCCTAGACTGTGTGTGTGTTTGTGGATTAAGGCCTCTATGTATTGATGTATGTGAGTGTGTCTTCGTACATGTAATAGAAAGCAGATCGTACTATGCAGAGCCTCTCTGGGTGGTTTAGTTGTGGCCATCACTGAGTCCTGCCTGCCGTCTACCCCACAATGCTCAGCGCTGTGACCTCCATGTTAAAGAGGCGCTCTGTATAAATTTGCTTAAGTATGAGGTGCCGTTTTCATGGCTTGTGCTGTAATTTATGTGCCACAAGCAATAAATCATCGCGGATACCTTGGTCCCGCCAGCCATTTTCTGAGCCAGGCAGGTTTTGCTATCCTGAAGGTGCCATGCAACTCCCATACCTCCTCTAATTGATTCATCCAATTTCACCTTTATCCTTGGTGTGGGCCTGTTTGGAGCAAGTGGGTGGGATGTCCTAATTGTTCTATTCCACGCAAATTGCTTTGCGGTGCAGTGTTATAAATTGCAGCATAAGTATATATTTGGCTACAGTTTCAGTTTATTATAATTTCTTTTGTTTGTTTGTTTATTTTATTTACTAAGGTAGAGTGGACACTTGCATCTGCATTTAAGCAGCTTCTGCTGCCTCATTAGCATATCTTTGTCCCAGATAAGTCATACTCCGTAATGGGTCAGGTGCAGCACTGCTAAATTCAATTTTAAGTGTGTTGTGGAGTTGTTTAGTTAGTTACTTGATTATTTATAGGCAAGTTTTCCATGTTTTTTACTGCTGGGAATTTGCTTTGACAGTGTCCCTGTATCACAGAGCCAAAAAGCACCTCGGAGTGCTGACTCGGAGTCAGTTGAACTGAGAAGAGCTCAGCTGTGATGATCAATACAGAGGAGGGAAATTTGGACCCCTGTCAGCACACTACATTAAACAGCAAATATGGTGAAATGATATAAAGCTGAAAATAGCTGAAAATTGGACTTGTTTAGTAGGCGTTCTTTTTGAGAGCCTCCAATTACTTCATTTTTATTTTAGCATGTTTTTTGGAATTGTGTCGGTGTATTAGGGCTGTGCCATATTTTTCTCCAATATTGCATGTATTTGCAAAATGCATTGTTACTTTAAACTGTGATAAACTTCTCACAGGCTTTATCTGATTTTTTTCCCCTTCCAACAATAACCAAGTATGCATTCCTGCAGCTGAAACAGTAGAGCATGGTGCTAGCAGCACCAAGGTCATGGGTTCAATTCCCAGGAAGTCACTTTGGATCTTGATGTCTCATGACAATCATTTTAATTAATAAACACTATTGACATAGCCTAGTATGACACAAAAAAAAACAACAACTTTTTTTTTTTGCCATTTACCATATGGTCAACAAAAATTCAATTTTGAATGAATACATTTTCCCCTACTCAAATCATTTGTATCTAGTATAGTATATGAATTGGCTTATGTTTTTTTTGGCTGTATATGTATCTGCTCTCTCGCAGAGTTGTTTCATAGTTTGCGCATGACAGTCAGCCCACAGTATGGCTCACAGCACTGAGTGGTGAATGAGACCCAGAGGCAGTCTCCTCGCTCAATAGTCTTGTGAAGTGAGATAAATGTCATCTGAGATACAATGATGCTTCTGTTTTGAACACTGGAGAAGGTCACAGCAGCAGACAGTCCCTGCTGCTGGCTAGATGAGAGGCCTGAAATTGCCCTTGTTTAAGTGGCTTTGCACTCTGAGGATGTAGCTGGACACCCAGAGCTCCTTTTCATCGCCTATGATCACATGAATGTCATTAGACTTTCAATTAGAACAAATTTGATGGATTGTCTCTCTTTCCGCAGCTCTGTGGTTGAGCCAAGAGGGCATGTTGTCTGTACTGTGATATTATAAAACCGTGTTTCAAGGAAAGTGCTTTTGTTTTACGCGAGGTCAACTTGAATGGCTTCTTTGAGCAAGTGTGAGGAAATGAGAACGTTTATTGCTGACACTTCTGAGCTTATGGCATTCTTCAAGGTGAATTGGTAAACTAGTCTACAGTTATGGCATCGCTCACTCTTTACTCATTCCTCTCCTCATCTACTCTCTCCTGCTCTATTCTCTTCCCTTTTTGTGCCAGCTGAGTTGGCACAGACTGTGTGAAATATTTAAGGGCACAGCAGGTCTATCAGACGAGTTCTCAGTGTGGAGTTTGTGGAGTGCACTGCTGTCTGCAAGCTTGACACACTCATTAAATGTTGTATAGGATTCCACCCAGGGCCCCACTGTAAGATATTTATGTTTATGTATTATGAGTTTTTTTTCTTTTGGGCAGGCATAACTTTTAAACTCCAGTCGAATCAATAGACAATGTTCTATTCTGTTTTTCTCCAACACTCATGATGTGCTTTCCTACCCTTGCAGGGCTAGCGGCCATGGCGCTGCAGATGATGGTGTAGACGACAGCTCCGTGCCGAGAGAGAGAGCAGAGAGGACACTGGGTCAATAAGTTGCTCTCCTCACCGTAGACTGACAGACGCTGTCCAGGTTTTTTTTTCAAGCCCAGGATCAGTAAGGTGAACAGATCACCTGGCCTACTGCTTCCTCAGAAAAATACTAAAAATGCTGCCGTATGGGAGGAGGCCCCTTCCCACCTCTCTTCGTGAGGCATTCCTCCTCCTCTTCTTCCTCTCGTTCCTCCCTCAACATGGGGGGCTCGAGGTTAACCTCTCTTCCTTCCGGACCTTTACCCCACCAGAGGGAGGGCTTACGCATTTGGTCGTCCATGACAAAACGGGTGAAGTCTACGTCGGTGCTGTCAATTGGATCTACAAGCTCTCCAGCAACCTGACCAAGCTTCGAAGCCATGTTACTGGTCCTGTGGTGGATAATGAGAAATGTTACCCACCACCTGGTGTTCAGTCTTGCCCTCACGAGTTATCACAGACTAGCAATGTCAACAAGTTGTTGCTTCTGGATTCAGGGCAGAACAGGCTCATTGCATGTGGAAGCACCTCGCAGGGTATATGCCAGTTCCTCCGACTGGATGACCTCTTCAAACTGGGTGAGCCACATCACCGCAAGGAGCACTACCTTTCAAGTGTGTCCGAGGCGGGCACTATGTCAGGAGTGGTTATTAGTGGAACCCAAGGTGAAGACAGAGGTAAATTGTTTGTAGGTACACCCATCGAAGGAAAATCGGAGTACTTCCCAACTCTCTCCAGTCGTAAGCTGATGGCTAATGAGGAGAATGCTGAAATGTTCAGCTTTGTCTACCAGGATGAGTTTGTCTCCTCACAGCTCAAGATTCCATCCGACACCCTTTCCAAGTTCCCTACCTTTGACATCTACTATGTCTATGGCTTTAGCAGCGAGCAATTCATCTACTACCTAACTCTCCAGCTGGACACCCAGCTCACCTCGCCGGATGCCAGTGGTGAACAATTTTTCACCTCCAAGATTGTCCGCCTCTGTGTGGATGACCCCAAGTTCTACTCCTACGTGGAGTTTCCTATTGGCTGTACCAAGGATGGTGTGGAATACCGATTGGTTCAAGACGCCTACCTCAGTCGGCCCGGTGCCAAGCTGGCACGATCATTGGGTATCTCTGAACAGGAAGAGGTGCTGTTTACCGTTTTTGCTCAGGGCCAAAAGAACCGGGCCAAGCCACCGAAAGAATCAGCACTGTGCCTGTTCACACTGCGAAAAATCAAGGAAAAGATTAAGGAGAGGATCCAATCCTGCTACCGGGGTGAAGGAAAGCTATCCCTGCCCTGGCTGCTCAACAAGGAACTGAACTGCATAAACTCAGTAAGTCACACTTACTAACTATATTGTTAAATTAACAAGCCAGATGCCAGCTGCACTGTTGATTTTAGTTCTGACTTGTTTGCAAATGAATTAAAGTACCTTAAGTCCCTCAACTCAATTCCAGTGTTGTTGGGTGTTGTAGCAATCAATCAATTCATTATAGAACGCATGTTATTTCCAGATCATTAGTGAGGTAAAGCAGTTGGGAATGTCTTGTCCGTGTGCATGGATGCAGGCCCTGAGAATCTCACTGTTGTTTAACAGGGAAACATCCACTCTCAAGTCAGATTAACTAGCCTAGCCACATCATTAACTCAGTTCATGGGATTAGCGCCCTGTCACTCTCTTGCCTCATGTGTCCTTTTTCTCAAGTGATAATTGATTTAAACTCTTAAAGTTGTTCTGTCTTTGTTGCCCAAGTCCTCTTGGGACCTTTGTTCTGGTGTCAGAACAATGTGGACAGCCGCAGAGAGGCTAGCGTGCAGGCGCATAGCTTACTTGCTAATCAACAGCACTCTTAGCTGCTCTCTCTACATAGGCCGTTGTAGGAAATAGCCAAGCCGACAATTCTACACCGAACACAATGCTCTAGCACAGAATGAGGGGATTATTCCCAGAGAACAGCCCAAATCCTCCCTTCTATTATATGTGCAGCATGTTCCTGGGTGATTCGCCTGTACTTAAGACATACAAGAGGAAACACATTTTGGCTGATGGGGTGAAACTTGTGAGAGTAATAAAAAATAGAAAGATGGAGCTGGTGATTAAGAAAGAAAGGAAGATGAAGGGAAGGGAGGCAGATAAGGATCGAGAAAGCTTGCCGACTTTGCTTCTCATGTTGTATCATGATATATTATGTGATGTAGTTATTGTTTCACAATTCTTATGCCATGACACCTCATCTTCAGTATTTTGTCATAACACTAGTGGGTTATGAATTATAAAATTTCTCCAAAACTTTTATTAAATGCCCCAAATGAGAAAATGTAATATTCGCTTCAGTTTATAACAGCAATATGTGATCTGATCAAACGGTTAGTGGCATGTACATCAAAGCTCTAAAATTCAAACTAGATAGTAATTCATTTTACTATCCATCATATGCTGAATTTGTAATCACCTATCAGGCTACATATCACAGATAGAGAGACCTGCTGTTATTCAGCTGTTATAGACTCTCTTTCAAAAGCAGGTTTGATTGACTTTTTTTCTTTTCTTTTTTATGACTCATCGTTTACTAAGCAGTTTTTTTCATTAAAATGGTGCTTTTCATAAAGAAAATTGGTGGAAAATTCCTAAAGAAAATAGAGAGACCAACATGTATTTCTTTCTTTTGTGGAACATGAAAAGATATTTTGACGAATAACAACATTGGACCCCGCTGACTGTCATTGTGTGAAGATATCTTTTGTGTCCTACAGAAGAAAGCAATGCATACATGTTTGAAACTCCATGGTAATGACGATAAATTATATTTCTGGGTGAACTATCCCCTGCTGCTCTGCCATAAAAATAGTCTGTAAGACTACATTTAAGCTAATGCTTGCTGAAAATGCAACGCATACTTGTGGAAATTACGTTTGTGTTTATTGCGTGAAATGTTTTGGGCCTTAATTTGCCTTCTTCATAGTCTTAACAGTTGTCTTTATAGTGCATTGTTGGTAGTGTAAACCATATGTTCTAATGCAGATTTTGATGGCAGCGGCCACAGTGGTAGACTCCGTCGGCAAATAACTGACAGTGGCATTAACGATAATAACTGCTGCCATTATAATAACGGGCCTGGAGCAATCTGCCTTGGTAATGATGGCAGCACGGCTGGCTGAATTGGATGAAAAGATAATGTGCTGAGGGTCCTCCACCGGCAAGGAGCTTCCAGCTTATGAATAATTCACCCTCACTCACCTTGTGTTATTCATTTATAGCCCATCACAATCAGCGCATGATCAAAAATCCCTCTGCCTCCGCGCTCTGCTTACAAGCAATTAATGTTGTCATTTTCCAATCACAAAGCACACTTTCATAATTCAGAAGGCTTTGGGGGAGGCACTCGTGCAGACAGACGGAAAGCCGACTGGAGGGGGAAAAACGAAGAGAGATGTGTGCTATCGGACAGACAGTAAGCACTTTTGACGTCTTTCTTCTGCCCACCTGTCCCGTTGCTCATGGTAAAGCTATGCATATATGTAAATGAGAAACCGTACATGATGGTGCTTGATTACCATCTGCGACACTGTGTTGCTATCCATCAAAGACACGTCAGCAGAGTCAAATAATAATTACACACAGACTTCTCTATTCTGCTTCTTATCCAGGCTGGCAGTGGTACTTTTTCACTGTAATTCATTTCATTGGCCTTTTCTTTATAAAATAACTGATGTCTGTAATGGACACTTTTGTTCATGCACAGCAAGGGCCTCTAATATGATTCAATACAGCATTATGATGCAGCGTTTTGAGGCACTGTACATTTGGAAGCTGAAGACTGAATTTGTACTTTGCTGCCAAAGTGCCCTATTCAGATGCTGATGCGAGTCTTTCTTATATTTTCAAACCTATTGATCTACAGGAAATAGAGATTATTGTGCTGGATGGCATCTCTCTGTCTATTTCCATTCAGCTTGAGCGCCAGACTCTCTTTCAAATCTTCCGAATTTATGGCGGCTGTAACAGGAACTTTTAAAAGTTCCAGGTCACCTTCTGTGCCAAATGCAAGCTGGTTTCCAACCATCTGAATTGTGCCTGTAAGTAAAAAAAAAAAAAGCATGAGCGGGGGAAAAAAGCAGAACAAAAACATATTTGCATTGCTAATGAGTTTTTCAGTCAGGCCACAGGTGATATTAATGAGCACAACCACTGCACACAATAACAACAGACAACAATACACACTCGTCACTTACGTACTTGAAAACACAGAGTGCGAATCACATGACATCATTATTGAACGAATTTTAGCTGATATTGTGTGTGATATAAAACTGATGAACAAAAATACACCAGGACCGACTCCTCACCCTTCGCTCCTTTGCATAATTACATGATAACTTATCTCGGTTGATCACTTGCCTGGTGATTTTGATTGCTAGCCGTTATCCTTCTAGTGTTCGGTTCTGATTTTCCCTCAGACTGAAGACGGAAAGATTTTCTGTCTTGTATTTTAATCTCCGATGCTATTGAAAGCATCCCTAATGAAAGACTTTGTGATTTAATTATGACATTGAACATCATTTGCTTGCTGTTGGTGTTTACTTCAGTTCTTTCTGACTCTTTGAGGAACAGCTCAAGGAAATGAGAGAACAAGTCCATGTGGGAGCTCTTCACGGCCAGGCAAAAAAAGATATTGTACTGGATTACACTTTAATGGCTTCCCATCTGTGCCTCCTTCCCTGTAGGGTATTGATCAGAGATGACTGGATATTGAAAAATCATATAGATGAAACTGTATCCCCCTCAATAGCCTTGGGGCTAATCGTTTTTCCATAGTCTTATTTACTGTGCTTTGGAACACAGGTTTGAGATTAAGGGAATCCTCTGTACATTTTTCTTCCTTAAAGGGGACACAAAGAAGAAAAATTAACTGTAAATATCTGTTCTTTCCGAATGGGTACACCACTACCATTTTCAGAGGTAGAGAATGAGTACTGATACTTTCTGGTATTTGCTGATATGACATTTGTTCATATTTAATAATTTAATAATTAATATGGTTTAATTAGCTATTTATTTATGTATTTTCTATATTAAAAACCAGAGCTTTATTTTAAAAAATATATACGTCTATTTTCATTTTATCCTTATTTGACGCTACTGTGTAGAAGCACCCAGAAAGTACAGGGTTTATGAGTGAAGAGTGAAAGTTTACTGTTTTTTTTTTAATTGAGTACAAGTACATGATCTCAGTATCCGATACTAGTATTGTATCAGTGCATTCCTGTCTGGATGGTAGCATTGTGAATGCGCTTGTAATGGGGCAGAATTTGTGTTTTCTGCTTTTTTGTAGCTTTAACATAAGCTATTCAGATCAAACGGGGCCTTGAGAGTGGCCAAATAAAGTGTAGACAACTGTATGAACTCTCTGTGATGGTAATTTTAAATCAATAAGTCAGCCAGCTAACTGGGTAGTAAGAAAAATGACCCCCCCATCCTTTCAGATGGTGACTATGTGTGTAGGTTGCAAATCTCTTAACAGGTCAGGCTTGGAGTGCTCCCCATCTAATTGTCGGTGTAATTATTTATTGATGTGTGTTTGTGTGGGAGCCGCCGTAGAGAGTGTGTGTGGGATGGTAGGTGGTTGTGATCAGGCACGCAGTGTGTGTTTGGGGGTGCGTGCTTGTGTGGGGCGCTATTTGCCAGGCTGCGCGTGCAGCTGTATTTGTTGTTTCCTGTGGTGGTGGGCAATGGGATGGATCCAGAGAACATCAGTCTATTTCATATTCCACAAAGGCTTAAAAACAACCGCATACACAAGCTGGGAAAAGCCAGTTATACCTTCCCTGCTGAAAATACCTGCTTCGATTTAACCAGCATGCTTTTGCAGGCTGGTTAATTCTGTGGCCGGTTGCAAAAAACTGCTTAGACTAGTCTTAAAAGTTAGGTAATTTTTTTTTAAGTCAGTTACATAAAAATGTAGATTGATCTACTTTGAATCTGAAAAGACAGACTGATAACCACTTGGTTAACTGCTAGTTAGTCAAACTAGTTCTTAAGACACAGGCTTAATGTGGTGACTGTTTACGCAACTGGCCGGCCGCTGGCTTGGTTCTATTAAGATGGTCAGCCATCACTTTTTCTGCTGATGTTGTTTGACCAAGGCTGGACTAGAAGACTAGAGGGGACACGTTTCATGAACATTAGAGAAATAAATTAATTAAATGAATTTATTTAAATCATATTTTTGTTGTTTGATGAGAACACTTTACTTGAAGACTTTATTTATAATGCATTATAATGGAATTCATAATGTACATCATAATTTTATTAGGCCTATACCTTTTCATAAC